TTCAACTGTAACTATTGAGGCAAAAATGTCCCCCTACCATAGACATCCAGCACCAAAGTAGTATATTTATTACAATTGAACTTACATTGACACGTCATTATCAATGAAAGTCTATAATTTACATTAGGGTTTATTCTTGGTGTTGTGCATTCTATGGGTTTTGACAAATGTATAAAGTCATGTATTCACCATTATAGTATCACAGAAATTCACTGCCCTAAAAATCCTCTGTGCTCTGCCTTTTCAACCCTTCCTGCCACCCAATTTCTATCAACTGGTAATCTTTTGACTGTGTCCATAGTTACCGCCTTTTCTAGAGTGTCATATAGTTAGTTGTGAGGCAGGGGGCAGGAGTAAACTCCGGAAGCAGGGACTTTATTCCGGACCAGATTGAAGACTAGCAGAAACAGGGAGGAGGTTAAAGCACCTCTCCATAAGACACGCCCATCAGCGCCATGTCAGTTTTTCGTTGCCATGGCAACGACGGGACATTATCGACCTCTTTCCTCTGCACCTACTCCGAAGTTACCAATCATTTTCTACAAATTTCTGCATAATTCCCCTTAATTTGTACGTAACTAAAAACAGGTATGTGACTGCTGAACTGCTCCTGAGCTGCTACTCTGGGCACATTACTTATGGGTTAGCCTTGCTCAGCAAGACGCAGTTACCCGTGCTGCTGCTGTACACTGCCGCTTCAATAAAAGTTGCTAACACCACCACTTCACACTTGAATTCTTTCCTGGGCTAAGCCCTAATTTTTGGCTTGCTTGCCTTGCATCAGTTGGAATCATACAGTATGTATTATTTTCAGGTTGGCTTTTTAGTAACATACATTTAAGTTTCCTTCACGTCTTTTCATGGCTTGATCATTTATTTTTTTTCTTTTTCTTTTTTTTTGAGACAGAGGAGTCTTGCTCTGTGGCCCAGGCTGAAGTGCAGTGGCACTGGCTCACTGCAACCTCCGTCTCCCAGGTTCAATCGATTCTCATATCTCAGCCTCCCCAGTAACTGGGATTACAGGCGCACGCCACTATGCCCGGCTAATTGGGGTTTCCCCATGTTGACCAGGCTGGTCTCAAACTCCTGGCCTCAAGCAGTCCACCTGCTTCGGCCTCCCAAAGTCAATGCATTTCTTTTTAACTCTAAATAATATTCCATTATTCAGAGGTAACACAGTTATCCACTTACCTACTGAAAGACATCTTGTTTCCAAGTTTTGGATAAATTATGAATAAAGCTGCTATAAACATCTGTGTGCAGGTTTTTGTGTGGAGATAAATTTTCACCTCCTTTGGATAAATACTAAGGAGTGTGATTGGTGGATCCTATGGCAAAAGTATGGTTACTTTTGTAAGAAACCACCAAACTGTCTTCCAAACTGATTGCACATTTTGTATTCTCACCAGTAATGAACAAGTTACTATTGCTCCATGTCTTTGCAAACTTTGGTGCTGACAGTGTTCCAAATTTTGGTCATTCTACTAGGTATGTAGTGGTAGCTACTTGTTGTTTTAATTTGCAATTCCCTAATGACATGATGTCAAGCGTCTTTTCATATGCATACTTGCATCTGTGTATCTTCTTTGGTGAACAGATGTTCAGGTCATTGGCCTGCTTTAAATCAGGTTATTTTCTTACTCTTGAGTTTTAAGTATTCTTTGTATATTCTAAAAATATTGTTCTTCATCAGATCTGTCTTTTGCAAACATTATCTGCCAATGTGTGGCATTTTTTCAACACTTCTTTGTAAATTTGCAAGTCCTTTGAGAAAAGAAATGTATCCAAAGTATTAATTTGGCAGTCTCATATCACAAGAGTACTCTAAAGCTAAATAAATTACAGTTTTTCAAATTTTGAATTAATTGATCTTTGCTATTGTTAGCAAGGTCAGCAAGGTCTTGTATTCTTTTTTTTTTTTTTCTTTTTCTTTTTTAATAGAGACAGGGCTCTTGCTACATTGCCCAGGCTGGTCTCAAACTCCTGGCCTAAAATGATCCTCGTGCCTTGGCCTTCCAAAGTACTGGAATTACAGGCATGAGCCGCCATGCTCAGCCATCCGGTATTCTTTAGCAACTGTTTGGTAACTTAATCTTAAAAAAATTGGAAAAAAAAGTTTTTTTCTCATAGTTTTCTTACAAAACCTTCATAACTGAAATACTTTATCACCTCTTCTTATAAATATGGTTTTCTTCTTTTTATATAAAAATCGAAGACATTTTATAACTGGCCAATCTTACTAGCTTAGATACTATTAGATAGTCAATATTTTTTGTTGGATATTTGATTTGTATTTCAGGCAACTAATATCTATTCATTTTTAATATCTATATTAAATAGATATTAATAGAAATTAAATAATATCTATTCATTTAATATCTATTCATTTGCACTGTTGGAAGAAAATTACTGATCAAATTCACTATGTATTTGCAGAAAATGGCTTTTAATATTGTCTACTTTATCATCCTTTTTTTTTCTTTCTTCCTTTTTAGACACAGGGTCTCACTATGTTGCCCAGGCTGGTCTCCAACTTCTGCGCTCAAGCAATCCTCCCTCCTTGGCCTTCCAAAGTGTTGGATATGTTTCATCTACAACTTTGTTGTTTTGTTCTGCTACAGGATATTTGCAATTGCCATTTATCATAAAATTCATGAGATACCTTCTTCCACTCTCCTTTTTGTCTTTATTGTTCCAGTTATAGGACTAGCTTTGCATCTCCACTCAATTCTACATCAGTAGTATGCTTTTATTTTAAATTTTAAGTTTGTCTGTATGTATATTGAGACAGGGTCTTGCTCTGTTGCCCAGGCTCGAGTGCAGTGGCAAGCTCAGGGTTCACTGCAGCCTTGACTGCCTAGGCTCAAGTGATCCTCCCACTCCAGCCTCCAGAATGGCTGGGACTACAGGCACGCACCACCACACATGGTTCATTTTTTTGTATTGAGACAGGGTTTCTCCATGTTGCCCAGGCTGGTCTTGAACTGCTGGGCTCAAGCAATCCTCCCACCTTAGCCTCCCAAAGTGCTGGCATTACAGGCTGGAGCCACCATGCCTCACTTCTGCCCTTATTTTTAATTCTAAAATAATTTATAATAAATATTAACAATTAGATTTAATTACTGATAAATATTAAATGCTAAATAGGTTTTATTAAGTAAATAAAACTGAAAATAATCAGTATTTCAATTTAATTACTAATTATAATTCACATAGGTATCCTTGTAACTCCTAATGTCTGTATAAAAGATGTTTATATTTTTTAATTTTTAAAATTTTATTAGTTATGTATTTCACACCAGGTCATCACTGTGATACATTTTTCAAAACACATTATCACCAGAAAAGTGCTGTGATGGAAAATATAAATTGAAATACCCTTTCTAGTTAGAAGAGTAATTCTGTTTTTTTGATAAAGAATGGAAGAGTTCTTCAGGCCCCTCCAAACTGTCATATTCCGAGCATCGGGTGTCCTCATCCTCACTCTAGTCCACAGGCAGGGTCCTCAGTCTTCAGCGCTCCTTCTCTTTCCCCTCTGTCTTGTGTCCCCTTGCATCTCTTTTCTCCAAGACCTAAACTCCCTCAGGACAGGACTATTTTTTTACATCTTGATACCACTCCTGAGCACTTGCTTTAATGTGTTGGACACTGGGTCCATTAAAGATTGTATCTGAAATTATAAAAGAAACGTTTTCACCTTTCTGTGGTACAGCTATAATTTCCGGTTTCATTTACCAACTGGGTGAAAGTGGCCCAGTGACACCATCTGTCTGGGCCTTCCTTTCCTGAAATATAATTTTGAGGCAGTAGTCCCTGGTTCTTGTAAGGTATTCAGGCACAAAACGCGAGGCATGTAACATATTAAATGAGATTTTTACCGTTAATTTATATGATTGCAAAGGACGTTTATATACACAGTCTGCAAAGAATTCTGGGGCCAGTTAATCTCTGTGGCATGATGGGTAAGTCAATCCCTTCTCTGGGCGTCCATTACTTCAGAAAAGGCATGAATTCAATTTTAGGGACCACACAAAAAAATGTATTCACTATTGTGCAGGACTTGGTCATTAGAGAGCTTTTTTTTTTTTTTAATTTTTTAAATTTTTATCTTTGTGTATGTGAATTTAATGGAGAGCTTTTAAATAACTAGATATTTAAATAACCGGATAATACAGATGCCCGACCTGCTCCAGACAAATTAGAAAAGTATGTAGGTGAGGAGGGACCAGCCAGAAGGCAGTATCTTTCAACTCTGGAGTGACACTGAACGTACTTCTCTTCCCGGCATGTCACGAGGTGTCAATTTCTCTGGCCTTACCCAGGTCCATGCCCGCCCCCTGGGGCCCCAAGAATGACTTCAGCACCCCACCCCCACCTCCCTCTCCAGATGTGGTTCCTGGGAGCGTTCAAGGCCCGTCAGTTATGAGAGCCACCCTTGGCGGCAGGACCAAACCTTGGGCTGCCGCCTGGATCTGAGGCTGGAGAGCGCCGTGACCACGGGGGTCCCCAGCTGGAGCAGGGCGGCTGGGGACTCGCGAGGACGCCCTGAACCGCGGCTTCCTCCTTAATAGCCGTAGGACTCGCGGTCAGAAGGCCGACTCCAAGTCTCAGCAGATCCACGAACTGGCCTCTTTGAGGCTGTGGTGAAATTTAAGATACCCTTTCCCCGCCATTGTCACTGACGTACTTCAGAAAACAGGTTAAAGTTCTGAAAGGACGTGGTCACGACTTTATATTTCTTACAGATTTGTGTCATGTTTTGTGCGTAAAAACCATTCGTCCTCATTTGCGATTCTCACATCCGTAATTCAGTTATACATGAAACTTAATTCAGTTATATCATAAAGGGTTCGGATGCGGGGGATGATTCGTTGGGTCTCAGCCCAAGGCCAGACGCAGCAGAGAGATCGGGAGTTGGGGGATGGGGGGCGGGGGGCGGGGAGCGGGGACGGGGGCGGGGAGCCGGGACGAGGGCGGGGAGCCGGGACGAGGCCGCCGGCCGCCGGACTCGGGGTCCGGCAGAGAAGAAAACGCTCCCTCCGCGGCTCCCAGCTAGGGCCCCGCTGCTAGCCTGGAGCCGCCCCTCACGCCGCAGGAGCCCAGCCCGCAGCGCCGACCCTGCCCGGATCTGTGCGGGCGCCAGCGCCCCCTACAGCCTGCAGTCGCCCTGCGCGCCTCCCCGCGGGTATTGTTTTCTAGCGCCTCTGATGGGCGGACTCCTGCAGGCCTGTTGTGAGCCTGAGGTTCCTTCTCACAGCTGGGTCTAAGGTCTGAATGCCGCGCCCTCAGAAGAGCCACAGATGGGTCTCCCCTGATGCTTGTCTCAATTTCCTCTGAGTGGGAGAGCTCCGGGAAAGGAGCCGATCCTGGTGGTAGACTACAGATCTGAGTCCACGGGACGAAAAACGAGGTGCATTAAGAGACCGCGGGAGTGGGGAGGTGGGGGTGGGGACTGGGCAATGGTGGCGGGGCGAGAGGTCTGGGGCTGGCGGGGACAGGGCTTAAGAGAGAGCCACCCCTCCTAACCTTGAAACTGTACCGAGCTTCCCTGTGATATTTTAAAATGCAAAAGTACAAAAAGTGAAGTAATGGAACTATGCGTACGCACTTCCTAGATTTTTAAAGGTTAACGTGTGACTGTATTTACTTCAGATGTTCCTGAAATAAATGAAAATGACAAGTTAAAATGAAGGGAGAACTCAATTGCGTCCCTCCTAGAGGCAAACACACTTCTGAGGATAGGTTGTATGCTCTCAGCGCCTGTTTTTATTAAAAGTATTGAGAAGTACTTTTCCAAATATAGGTGGTGTGTATGGCATCATTTAAACGATTTTTTTCGTTTAAATTAGTCTATCCTTTTAAAAATAATCTTTTTTTTTTTTTTTTAAGATTTTTTTGAGACAGAGTCTCGTTCTGTTGCTCAGGCTGGAGTGCAGTGGCGCCATCTCCCCTCACTGTAACCTCTGCCTCCCAGGTACAAGTGATTCTCCTGCCTCAGACTCCCAAGTAGCTGGGATTAAAAGCGTGAGCCACCACCCCTACCAATTTTTGTATTTTAGTAGAGATGGGGTTTCACTATTTTGTCCAGGCTGGTCTCAAAATCACGACCTCCACTAATCCTCCTACCTCGGCCTCCCAGACTGCTGGGATTACAGGCATAAGCCACCGTATCTGGCCACCTTAATCATCTTTGTTTTTGCATCTAGTCTAAGAAATTCTGCACTAAAATTCTGCCCTATTTTCTTCTAAAATTTTAAAAGATTTTCAGTCTGTGTCTTTGTTAGACGTAGAAACTTTTGTGTATGATATGGGGTATAGCTATAATTTTATTTTTATTCCATATGAAAGCCAGTTTCTCAGCCCCAGTAATTGAATAGACCATCCTTTCTCCACCAATTTTTAAGGCTACTTCTACTCTATTGTGTGCATGGTAGTTTCTAGGCTGTTTTGTTGTACTGATTTCTTCACCTATTTTTGCATCAAAGCTCTCTTCTTGGGGAAGTAAAACAATCCTGCCAACCAAAGACCCCTCTGGATCCTCAAACACACCATCAGCATGGAAGGCTGCTGTCCTTACATTGAAGTCATTCAGCTAGTTAGCAGGAGCATCAGTTAGTACAGATATCCAGAGCTGATGGTCTTATTTGTATGAATGCCCAGTGCACATGGGATTGGAGGGGAGGGCTGGGAGTGGGATGCAGGGAGGATCCAGAAAGGGGCTAGTCTTCAGGTCTTCCCTGGAGAGTATGTAATCTTTTATCATAAAGTGTTGATTTTGTTTTGTTTGTACCTTCTTTAGATATTGAAGTATTCACTAAGGCTTAACATGTAATATCTTTAAATCTTCATATGAATAAGTTTATCTGATAGATTTTGGTGACACATAAACTATGAAACAAACAGAATGATGGAACATGAGAAAGGGTCAAGGGTGGCCTTGGTTAGGGATGGCAGCTTTTAAAACTATGAGCTAAGATAAAATTTAGAAGGTTTTCTTTTTATTTTAATTAATCATACCACTATTTTTCTCCTTTAATTTCCATATATAATGAGTTGATTGTAGTATTAATTTTTATTGTGCTTAACTATTTTAAGATAATAGTTGTCTCTCCTCATTTTAGCAAATAATATATTTAATGAAAAATGAACTTTGTTGAGGAATAATTTATACACAGTAAAATACACTTGTATTAATTATACAATTTGATGAGTTTTATATACCCAAACAGTTACTACTGTAATCAAGTTACACTTCCATCAACCAAGATAGTTCCCATTTGTAGTATCACCTGTGCCTCCTCTTCCATACTCTTGGCCCCAGGCAGCCACTGATGTGCTTTCCATAATTACAGCTTAGTTTTCCCATTCCTAAAATTTCATGTGAATGGAATTTATGTCATATGTATTTTTTATTTTCCTTCACATTTTTGAGATTCATCCATTTTGCTGTATGTGTCAGTAGTTTATTCCTTTTTAGTGCTTTATAATATTCCAAGATATAGATATATTGCAATTTTTTTTTTTTTTTTTGGAGACAGAGTTTCCGTCTTGTTGCCCAGGCTGAAGTGCAATGGCATGGTCTGGGCTTACTGCAACCTCCGCTTCCTGGGTTCAAGTGATTCTCTTGCTCAGCCTTCCAAGTAGCTGGGATTACAGGCACCTGTGACCATGCCCGGCTAATTTTTGCATTTTTAGTAGAAACGGGGTTTCACCATGTTGTCCAGGCCTGATCTCAGGTGATCCGCCCGTCTTGGCCTCCCAAAGTTCTGGGATTACAGGCTTGAACCACCGCGTCCGGCCGATATATTACAGTTTATTTACCCATTCACCTGTTGATGAACACGTGGATTGTTTCCAGTTTATATCATTGTGAAACAAAACCAGCATGAACATTTGTATAAAAGTCATAGTGTGGACATGTGTTCATTTATCTGGGAAAAATGACCCAGAAATACTGCTGGGCTGTATAAGTGTTTAATTTTATGTTAGAAACAGCCAAACTTTTTTCAAAGTAGTTGTAACATTGTCCTCTTACATCTACAATATATGAGAGTAGTTTCCTCCACACCCTTGCTCACCCTGGGGATTGTCAGTCCTTTCAACATTAGCTATTCTGTTGAGTGTGAAGTATCTCATTGTGGTTTTGACTTGCATTTCCCTAGTAACTAATGATGTTTAAAATCTTTTCATGTGCATACTGGCCATTTGTTTTCTTTTGCGAAATGTCTGTTGAAAACTTTTACTCTTTGTTTTGGCTCGTCATCTTACTAAGTTATAAGGTTCCTTATATTTTCTAGGTGCGAGTCCTTTGTCAGATTCATGTATTATAAATATTTTCTCTCAGCCTGTGATTTTTCTTTTTCTTTTCTTTTCTTTTATTTTTTAGAAAGATCCTCACTTTGTCATGCAGGCTGGAGTGCAGCGGCGCCATCTCAGCTCACTGCAACCTGTACCTCCCGGGTTCAAGTGATTCTCATGCCTCAGCCTCTTGCTTTTCATTTTATAATGTTTTTTGAAAAGCAGATTTTCACTTCTGATGAAATTTAATTTATCATTTTGTTGTTTATGTTTCATAAACTATAAACCTGTTGTTTTGTTTTAAAGAAATCTTTGCTAACCCTAGGGTATTGACGATTTCCTCCTATTTTTTAACGAAGTTTTATAATTTTAGCTTTTACATTTAAGTCTATGGTCTATTGTAAGTTAATTTTTGCGTAAAGTTTGAGGTAAGGCTCCTGCTCCTCTCCCCCACACCAGGATATCTACTTGTTCAAGAAACATTTATTGAAAAGACAATTTTTTTACTTACTGAATAGCCTTGATACCTTTGTCAAAACCAGTTGTCCATAGATGTGTGAATCTATTTCTGGGTTCTCTATTTTGTTTCACTGATCTTTGTGTCTAACCTTATACCAATTCATTCTGAAATACTTTCCAGATAACTATAGCATTTTAATAAAATTTTGAAATTGAATAGTTTAAGCCCTTGGACTTTTTTCCTTTTAAATGTATCAACTTGGAGAAGATTGATTCATATTTGTGTTTCATTTTTTCATTTTTCAAAATTATGTTTCAAATTGACATAATAATTATATGTATATATGGGGTGCATAGTGATGTTCTTTTTTTAAAAAATATTTATTTATGTATTTCTTTATTTATTTTTGAGATGGAGCCTTGCTCTGTTACCCAGGCTGGAGTGCAGTGGCACCATCTCGGCTCACTGCAACCTCCACCTCCTGGATTCAACCAATTCTCTTGCCTCAGCCTCCTGAGTAGCTGGGATTACAGGCACATGCCACCATGCCTGACTGATTTTTGTATTTTTAGTAGAGATGGGGTTTCACCATGTTGACCAGACTGGTCTCTAACTCCTGACCTCAAGTGATCTGCCTACCTTGGCCTCCCAAAGTGCTGGGATTACAGGCGTGAGCCACGGCGCCCAGCCCATAGTGGTATTTTTCACACATACAGTGTATAGTGATCAGATCAGGGTAATTAATTAGAATATCCATTATTTCAAGCATTTCTCATTTCTTTGTGTTGGAAACATTCAATGTCCTCTTTTCTAGCTCTTTGAAAATATATATTACTGTTAACTATTGCCATTCTGTAGTACAAATAGAACACTAGAACTGATTCCTCTTATCTAGCTGTAACTTATTTTCTTTAACAAATCTCTCTTTATCATCTCTTTCCCCTACCATTCCCAGCCTCTAGTAATCTCTGTTGTACTTTTTACTTCAATGAGATAAACTTACTTATTTAGTTAGCTAGCTTCTGCATATAAGTAAGAACATGTGGTGTTTAACTTTCTGTTTCTGGCTTATTTCACTTAATGTAGTATCCTGCAGTTCCATCCATGTTCCTACAAGTGACAGGATTTCATCCTGTCATGAACAAACAAAAATTTGCAAAAACAAAAATTACCTTAGTTATCACATTTCTTTTATTGATATGATTCATAACCATCAGAATCATCTGACTTGTACATCATTGTATCAGTTAGTTTTATGCTCAAGATGTTGCATTGGTTCATTATTATCTTAATATCCCAACCAACCCAGTCTAGACATAAATGCTGGCCCCTAGGGCTTGGCAGGAAAGGGAGACAGGCCTGGGCTAGGCATAGTGATAGCAATGCACCTGTGTTTGAAGCTGTTAAATATTTGCTACAATCCTATTCCTAGACTAAAAATTAGATACTTGTTAAGTCCTACTTGTCGGTGTCTATGGCTGTGTGAGTTCTGGTTAGTAGAAGGTGGGCAAAAGTGATGTGTATTCTTCCATAACTGGTCCATAACCACCTACCACTCACAAAACTCCATGCCTTTTTTTCTCTTCAGGCTCCTTGGATTAGAGACCATCCTGAGGACATCCTTGGGAGTCATGTGCTGAAGTTGGCCAAGCCACAGGATGAAAGGAGCTGTATCTTTGAGTCAGCACTGGAGAAAGGTCTCTCTAAATGGATTTGCAGAGAAGTCTTCTCAAATATTCCCCTTCTAAGTTCCACTTGTAATCCACTTCTTTTACTCTCCCAGCAATCAGTGTGGTTTGGGGGAAATTCCAGAATCTCATAATATCTTGGTCATGGGTAAATCAGGAAAGGGACTTTACATACATGTGATACAAAGCAGAACAAAACAAGCAGGGCAGCCTAACAGCACAAGACCCCAAAGGGTAAGGAAAGTCCTGCAGAAAAGCAGAGCAGTGCTGGCAGGCAGCAAAGGTAAGCGGACAGGGCCGTCAGGATGGATCCTTGGGGCATGCCAGCATCCACCAGGGATTGGTAGAGCTATTTAAAAAAACCGATAAAAAGCTCTGCCAAATACAGTCACAAAAGATGGAGCTCAGAACGATGAGTAGATGCCTAAAACATCTCCTTTTGTTGATGAAGAAAGTAAAGTTTATAGAGCTTAGATTATTTGCTTTTGTACCTAGCACAGTACTAAGTTCATAGTAGATGCACAGTAAATATTCATTTAATGAGTCAATGAGTCACTAGCCTAAGACCTTTAATATAACATGCTTAAACCTGCTCCCAGGGATTGGAAACTCACCTATTTAGTAGTGAGTAGAGGGGTGTGGTACTGGTACTTAAGATAGATGCATTGTGGTTGGGTATGGTGTGTTTTTGTTTTTGTTTTGAGACAGGTTCTCCTTCTGTTGCCCAGGCTGAGATGCAGTGGCATTATCATGGCTCAAGGCAGCCTCAACCTCCCGGGCTCAAGCGATCCTCCCACCTCAGCCTCTGAATAGCTGGGGCCACAGGTGCGCATCACTGTGCCTGGCTAATTTTGTTTTGTTTTGTTTGTTTGTTTTGTAGGGACGGGATTTTGCCATGTTGCCCAGGTTGGTCTCGAACTCCTGGGCTCAAGCTATCCACCCACCTTGGCCTCCCAAAGTTGTAGGATTACAGGTGTGAGCCACTGTGCCCAGCAGATATGATGTTTTTAAAAGTTTGAAAGTTAATATGCTCTCTGGTGTGCCCTAGGTCCCACTACTCCTATTGCCTTAAAACTCACGCAGTACACATTTGTCTTCCATCAGTCTCCTGTGGGCTTCACTTATAAGAGAACCCTTTCTACTCTTTGCTGTTCACAAGTCACCTTTTAAACAGAGCTTGTTCCCAACACTGTTTTGTTTCGCCCTCTGCCATGTCCTTCCGGCCATCACCTACCTATCTTATCTCTTCCATTATCCACATATGTCCTCTGTATTTTTTTGAGTTTTTAAACATTTATAAGCATAAGTCCTTAGGTAGCTATGCCACTTACATAATGAACTAGAAAAGCTAACCAAAGAGAACAGGGTTGTACTCAGATATACCTTCTACAAGTTTGTATTACACATATTTACACATATTTAAAAATATATACATATTATTGTGCTATGTGGTTATTAGACAAACTCAATAAGCAGTTCTTATAAAGTATACTCAATGTAACTTTTATAAACTTATCATATTTTATAGTTACTCTGTTTTTATTAGCTGCTATAAACTACGTGGGCATCTTTCATGAGTCATTTTATTGTAATGTTTTTGTATCTGTTGAATGAGGAGTTAGAAGGCATCATCTTTAAGGAGCTTTACAGGTACATGTCCAGGGCTCAATAATTTTATTATTATTGCCTGCACAGATAAAACCTAAGCAGATGAAGGGGAAAGAATGAAAGTGCAGGGTGGAAGCTGCTTGAATGCTAACTGGGTCAAAGTTCTCCCAGAAAACCCTCATAAAAGAAACCTAAGAACCTACATCACCAGGAGACCACTGGGACTAGTTCCTCTGGAATCCCTGAGGCCAGATAATCAGGTGAAGCTTTACTTTCTGTCCCTTTCTGGTCATGATCTTCTCCACAGTCTGCTTGGTGCTCCCTCCTCTGTGACTAAATTCTTAGGATCAACCCCTCTTGCATATGCACATCCGCAGTGCCTGTGGGATACAGTGTGGTATGGGAAGGAAACCGTCTTCTGCCTTAATATTTTCCTGCATGCCCCAGGCCTTGACGGAATCCTGTCTCTCCATAGTGTTGCTTTTCCAGGAGATTGATTGATTGATTGATTGATTGAGACGGGGTCTTGCTTTGTCGCCCAGGCTGGAATGCAGTGGCGTGATCTCGACTCACCAACATCCACTTCCCAGGCTCAAGTGATTCTCCCCCTTACGTCTCCTGAGTAGCTGGGAATACAGATGCGTGCCACCATGCCTGGCAAATTTTTTTATTTTTTGTAGAGACGAGGTTTCGCCATGTTGACAAGGCTGGTCTCGAACTCCAGGAATCAAGTAATCTGCCTACCTCGGCCTCCCAAAGTGCTGAGATTACAGGCGTGAGCCAAAGTGCTCGGCCTGAGTTTTCTTCTGGAATTCCTGCTGGGTTTTTGTAGTCAGTCCTCTCCCTGTTTCCCATATTGGCTCTTGCAGACCTTCCTTTTCCCCATTTCTATTTGCCACCATGTCAGACGTGACTTTTGCCACAGGATCTCTATCCTACTACAGAGGAAACCAAAGCCATCAGTAGAAATTTCACTAACATGGAATCAGATTTATGGAAGAAAAGGGGAGGAAAGTTTTGCCTTAACACTTGGAAGGGTTTCGTTTCTTTTAGTAGCTGGGAGACAGAAACATAAGAAAGTAGCTTAATAAGCTTTCAGCTGTTCACCTGATGATGTGTGAGCTGTCAGTAGTTCAAACTAGTCATTATCTTTATGAATTATGTAATAACTTAAACAATGTCATAAACCTTCAAATCAGTTTAAGCCTAAATGTGTCATATTTAATAACAAGAGCAAGAAACATACGTTATGATGAAGAGCTCTTATATTTTCTTTGGATAAAAGTCAGTAAAATATAAAAGAAAAATGCATTTGCTTTGGGACTTTTAATATTTAGTCTATAAATCTAGCCACTATAGAAATCTGCTGATTAAATATGAGTTCTATTAAAATGGAAACATGCATTTTGGGGGAAAAAAGAGGGAGTGTTTTAGTTATTTTGTTTTTTACACTTGTTCATAACAAACAAAATTTTAAACAGTCTTGAGGGGAACATTTTATTTCTACTTGTAACTGCATAAAGTTATGAGCTAATCTATATCATATATAGTTTGTAGCTTTATAAATTAGGAAATTCTAACAGAATAAATATGCTAATATGATGAAAATATCATAAATTACAATAGAATATATTTTAATAAAACAATTCAGAAGGAGCCAATACCCAATTTCAAAATCATATTAATTGTAAAATTAATTAGGGCAGCCAAAATATTCTAGAATTCCTTCTAATAAAACAAACGAGTGACTTTGTAAATACAGTCATACCAACAAACTTGAAGAATTATGCAGCATAAAAAGTGATTATCCCAGCACTTTGGGAGGCCGAGGTGGGCGGATCATGAGGTCAGGAGTTGGAGACCAGCCTGACCAACATGTTGAAACCCCATCTCTACTAAAAATACAAAAATAGCCGGGCGTGGTGGTGCATGCCTGTAATCCCAGCTGCTCAGGAGGTAGAGGCAGGAGAACTGCTTGAATCCAGGAGGTGGAGGTTGCGGTGAGCCAGGATTGCACCAGTGCACTCCAGCCTGGGCGATAGAATGGGACTCTGTCTCAGAAAAAAAAAATAAATAAATAAATAAAAATAAAAGTTTTAAAAAAGTGATTATTATGAACACATAGTAATCTAGTAAAAATGGTTGCGTGAAAAAAGCAAAATGTAAAATTAAATATGTACTATAACAATATATGGAAAATATACTCAGATGTATAAAAATTAGAATGTAGAAAAGTAAATATAGCTCATCATAATTTTGTTCTGAAATCTAAAAAATATATATTTTTGAATGGATAACCTTCTTTTTATAAATGCTTACAATATAGAGCCCATGATGGTTGTTAAAAGCCCCCAGGTTCAGCCTTCTCTAATTGTGTGGTCAGCCTGCCATCAACCCGAGGCCTCCCTCTGCTGGGCAAACTTGGGAACACATTGAGACATCCTTACATGTAATTCCTTCTCTTCATGTTCCTGGTGAGCGTTCTTCCCACTGGGTTTCCATACTCTGCCCTCTTGAAGTCTTGCACCCTGACATTGCAGTGTCATCCCTCTTCCACTGAAGTCTACAACTATCAGCTTATTGTCTCTAGCAAGTCTCACTTTAGCTACAAATATCATTCTGAGTTTACCTCTCAGAAACTTTCTCCCTGAGCATTCTGGATAGACTCTAGGTGCACTAGGTGCAGTTAGAAAAAGCTCTGATTAGTTGGTGGAGCTATAGGAGGAGAGACAGTGGTGGGCTGGAGAAGGGGTCTACACGGAGAGAAACTGACTGGAAACTCAGAGAGATGATGGGGATTAAAAGAATCCTATTGAATCTGCACAAAAGTGTTTTATTATAATTGATCCTGAACTATGTAAAGGTAAGCTCCAGTGAGCAGTTACAGTCTGTCCCTAAGATAGACTCTTTTCGCTTTTATTTTTATTTTATTTATTTTATTGTATTTTTTTTCTAAAGACAGGGTCTTGCTATGTTGCCCAGGGTGGTCTCAAGTGGTCCTCCTGGCATCAAATGATCCTCCTACCTCAGTCTCCCAAAGCGATAGGATTACAGGCGTGAGCTACCACACCCAAATGATTCTTTGTGTTCAAATATAGAGTCCAGCAGCAGTTTTAAAGAAGTACTAAACTCTACAGCTTGGAAGATGGAATGGCGCTCACAATTCTTCCAGGCAAGCTCTGCATTCAGTGATATGGACCACAAGGCAAGCCCATAAGGGGTTAAATTACTGACAAACAATAATTTCTAAATATGAACATTTCAGGAGGAACTAAGATGGCTCCTTCCTGGAGAATAAGTTGGCCGGCTTCTCTAGTTATCAGACTGTGTCAGACGAGGAGGAAAGAACCCCTCTGTCCCAGTGAGACAGGACCCTCCAGCCCCCAAGCTCTAAGGCTTTCTGATGAGCAAATGGGATTTCCATCTTTCTAGCTTCAGGACTCGTAACTACTCAGTTTATTCCCTTCAATCTGGATATTCAAGACAAGAACAGTTTATGGTGTTGTGAAGGCCCAGATTCAAATCACATATGCAAAGATATTGACATTCAGTGGAGGGTCACTTAGATTATATCCAGATGACTTCCCTAAATTTATAGCTCAAATGGTAGTTGTGGATTTTTTGCTCTTAGTTACTTGCATAGTCACTTGCCAGAGGTAATAAAGTTTTAGTGTGGTTGTGGAAAAGAATGGCCATACATTTAGAAAGAAAATTTTAATGATGATTGAAAACTGAATTAGCTTTAACATGGGAATATGCTCAGGGGACATAGGACCACAGATCTCTGTTCCTTCCTATTGCCAATTCTTTCCTTTCCCTGGTAGCATGCTTCCATTACCCATTACTTCAAAAATGTTTCTATGTCTCCAACTCCCTTGCACCATGGTCTTTACAGACACAGCCACAGCTCAATTATGGGTAAACCTTTTTCTGTGGCTACAGGAAGAGTTAAGCATCGCTGAAGCATGGTTGAGCATGACTGAAGAAAAACACCTAACCTTGAATTTTTTGATCAATATAAATTTATATCCACAGATTTTACCTGACTGATCATCGCCCACCAGTCCTACAAAGTTTGCCAGATCGGTTCTGTCTCCACTTTACATACTGAGCAAATACTTATTAAGCACACACTTTGTGTTAGGCTTAAGTGTAGGTATTGAGGAGGCACTGGTGAATGAGTAGAGGCTCTGTCCTCATGGGACCTGCATGCTATTTGGCAGCTCTTTCAGACATTCTCCTCTCTCAAAGCTTTGAGCCCCTCTAAACCGCTATAAGCACCTATTTTCAGCTGCTCCCTCACTCCCCACTTCATGGGGGAAATAAAAGCCATCGTGGTAAAATGCCAACTGCCTGACAGAGCTATATTTACCATCTTTTAATTTTAATTTTTAATGACACAGTTGTACATATTTATGGGGTACTATGTGATATTTTGATACATGTATAGATTATGTAATGATCAGGAATTAGATCAGTTTTGTCTTTTTTTTTTTAGTAAAAGATAATCTTTTCTACTCTTTCAGTCCTGAAAAATGGAGGAGTGCCATATTAGGATTCCAACAGAAAAAGTTAAACCAAAAGAATATATGAAGGGCATATAATTAAGGGTTATCTACAAAGTTGTGACAGGGCTAATGGGAAGAACAAGGGGTATGAGGCAGCCCAAGATCAGCAACAGTGGTGATCCAATGTCACCCTGTGCTGATTATGAAGATTTAGTCCTTTCTATCTTTTCCAATCCCGCTTTGCTAGCCGCCTCCCCAAACTACCAATAGGAAGCACTGGAGAAAGGCTAGAGGACTGGAAGAATGTGAAAAGATTTCCCACTTTGTTTGTTGACATCCTCACAGAATGGGTTCTTCGACCTGGCAGTGGCAGTTGAATCCAGTAACAGCAGTTGGCTTCAGTTTGGAGATCTTCCATGCTCCTAAAATCAGCTTCATCATGCCTCTGTCTACAGACACATCATCAGTGGTCCAGCATCCACTCCTCAGAGGTCCTAGTTCTGGGGATGTCTTCAAAGAATCTTTTCCTTGTTCTCCTAACCCTGGAGGTGGTAGTTGCTTTCTGTCATTACTGTCTCTGATACTTTAGTTCCACTTTTCCATTTTCAGTCCTCTTATAACCAATTAACGACCATTCCCATAAAATTCTTTGTTCAATTTCAGTGCAATTTCTAGCTCCCAGTTACACCCTGACAGACACACCTTTAAATCTGAAGAGGCAACGGGAGGGAACCTGTAACCAGAGCCAGGCCAGAGCTGGGACTGTGGAGGAAGAGCTCGGTGGGCACCGAGCAGGGGGGTGATGCAGGGAATAAGTACACTGACCTCTCTCTCCTTTGCCATCTACATTCCTGCTGGGCTGATCACTGGCCAAATCCAGCTGGTGCCAGAGGGCAGGGCTGCCCAGCTAATGCCATCTATAGAAGCTGGGCTTCTGGGGCACAGAGCAAGTCAGAGACAGGCAGAACAGGGATCTGGGTTTGAACCAAACACTGAATAAACCAGATCAAGGATTCTTCTATCAAGACAAATTTATATACTTGCAGCTTGATCCC